CAAGCTATTTAAAATGGGTACTCAATGCACGACTTCATAGTTTAACTTTTCTTGCATAAATTTAAGCTTCAATCTTCATTTCCTCACAATGTCTCTTTACTTCATTAATGTTCTTGCATTAAATATGAGTAGCTAAGCTTCATGTCGACTAATCCAAGGGAGAATTCCTCTTGGGTATGCTAAACCAACTATTTTTCATTCCTCCTCGTAGTGTACGATGATTTGGTTTGACTAGGTTGAGTGTGTCCGCTTGGATCCTCACCTCCATTTTTAGTTCCTCACTTCCTACTAATCAATCAAACATCTAGGCACCATTGGAGGAAGGTCTTGAGTTGATTTGGTATTCCCATTGGAATGACCTCTTCGGATTAGCCAACACTTGTTTCATTTCATTTCCATCAAGAACACAATTCACCAAACCTTTAATATCAAAGATTTTTGCACTTTTTCTTTTTCACCAAAATCACTTTTAACACATTTCACTTTCAGTCACTAAGGAGACGACCTTGGAATATGAATTCCAAGTAAAACATGACACTCGAAATTCTCTCTGCGCTTGGGGAGCATTTTTGTTCACACACACACACATTTCATCCCACACACCCGTTTTCTCATTTCTTGCATCGAACCTGAGTGAGAGTGACACTCACCCACATATATAAGCCATATACACATTGAGGGTTCATGTTCAGAAATTAGGAACGACGAAATAAAGCATCAAGCATTTTTGGCACCGTTGTCGGGGAAGGCTAAGGGTTGAATTTAGAAGGTGATTTTTGGAGAACAGAGGTAGGTCCTGTGATTTTCATCACGGGCTAAGGTACGTTGCTCCTTGTATATACTTTTGTCTACTTGTCTTTTCATTTGTAGATAGTGTTTTGTAGTGGGGATGGGACGAACGAAATTGGTTGGTTAGACAACTTTTAGGCCCCAACATGAACATTGACCAAGACCCACCTGAGGATGCGGATGATAATTTTGAGAATGTAGGTGCTAATCCAAATGTTCAAAGGGGCAGGGGAGTGCAAGATGCTAGAATGCCTAATCCTCGAATGCAATTCCCCCCTCCGCTGAATGAAGGGAACAACATCCCAATTGATCCTCCGGCGAGGTCAATGAGGGATTACCTTCAACCCACAAGAAGCACTACCCCTTAATGCATTCTTTTACTGGTCCAAGCTCATGCCTTCCTAGTTAGGTCAGGAATGCTGCAACTACTTCCTACATTCCATGGAGTTGAAAGGGAAAATCCCTACTTGCACATAAAGGAATTTAAGGAAATAGTTGCTGCCTTTCCTCACTAATCATGGTATGGAAGATATAGCTAGAAAGAAATTATTCCCCTTTTTCTTGAAAGATAAGGCAAACACATGGTTGAATTCCTTGAAGCCTCGAGCCATAACCTGTTAGATTCAAATGCTCTCTGAGTTTTTAAACAAAATTTTCTCGGTGCCTAAAACCACTGCTCTTAAAAAGCAAATTCAAAAATTTTCAGAGAAGTCCAATGAGCAATTCTACCAATGTTTGGATCACTACAAGGAATTACTACAATCCATTCTACACCATCACTTTGAACCATGACAATTGGTAAGTTTCCTCTATGAAAGAATCACACTAGGCTATCGACAGTTCATCGATATGATGTATAATGGGGAGTTTTTGAACAAAGACCCTGATGAGACCCTATAATACTTTGATAAATTGCCACAAAATGCACAATGTTGGGATATTATGGATCCCACCAATATATCAAGGTCGTCTCTGGGTAGTAATCAATCACATAGGGGGGAATGTATGATTTGAGGGACCGGAAAGACTCTTTCCAAAATTTTCAAATTGTCCTAGAAAGTTGAGAGTACTGAGGTCAATAGGAGACATGAGGTGTCCAATATTTCAAAGACCGAGGAATCTTGCCCAATTTGTGAGTGTGGAACATTCCATATTGGAGTGCCCTAATATTCAGGGGCTTAAGGAAGTGTACCATGAGCAAGTCAATGCCTTTAACCAAATGCGACAATCATTCTCCCCGCACTCAAACACTTACAATTGGGGTTGGAGTAATCACCCAATTTTTAGTTGGAGATATGAGAATCTCACTCCTCATAGGTCTAATGCATACTCACATTTCATATTTGTTAAGCAAAGTCAATACCAAGGGCAAGGTCAAGGGTCTAGCTTTCAATACCCCCAGTCCAATCTGTGAGGGTATTCACAAAATCCACCTCTACAAAATTTCTCCCAAAGTCCACATCCGCAAAGTTATGGTCAACAAGGATCATCCAATCCTCTCACCTTCCAACCTCCCCATAAGAGGAATTTGGAGGATGTGGTTTATAATTTCATCCAAATTCAAAATTGACCAATGCCATAGGGATATCTCCACAGGAGAAGGGAAATTCCCAGCTCAACCCCAAGAGAACCCTAAAGGCCAACATGTAATTGAGTCATCGGAGCCCATTAAGGAGAGTTATGAGCAACTCAAGGCGGTCACCAACCTTCGAAGTGGCAAATAATTTGATAAAACCATTGTGCCAAAAGTCTCACCTAAGGCTACATTGCCAATAGAAGAAGAAACTAAGGGTGGCACTAAAGGGGGTGAGGTGTGTGAGAAGAAAATTTTGGATGATGAAAATGTGCATGCGTCCCCCATTGCTGCCCCTTTTCCCAATCATTTGAAGTCACTCATGAAGGTGGCTAACTATTCTGATATAATTAAGACGTTCAAGCAGGTTAAAATCAACATTCCACTCCTTGATGCCATAAAGGAAATCTCATCATGTGCCAAGATCTTGAAGGACTTGTGCACGGTAAAGAGAAAACTGAATGTTCATAAGAAGGCATTCCTCACCATGCAAGTGAACTCAATCTTGATGACGAACTCCCCACCAAAGTTCAAGGACCCCGGGATGCCCTACCATTTCCATCACAATAGGGTAATGTCAGGTGGAGCAAGCTCTTCTTGATTTGGGGGCAAGTGTCAACCTCCTACCTAACTCGATGTACCAACAACTCCAACTTGAAGAATTGAAGTCAACTTCAATCACTCTTCAATTGGCGGACCGAAGTATTCGAACACTGAGGGCAGTATTGGAGGATGTCTTGGTGCAAGTAAATAATTTTTATTTCCCTGTCGATTTTATTGTGCTTCAAACTCACCCTATTGCTAACCCATGTTCACAAATTCCTGTCATATTAGGTAGACCGTTCTTTGCTATTTCTAATGTTGTTATTAATTGCAAGAATGGTCTTATGAAGTTTACTTTCAGGAACATGACTATGAACTTCAATGTATTCAATTTGTGCAAACAACCAGGGGATGATTGCTTGGTTGTTTTCATTGTCTTCCCTACTGTCCTATCATGAAACCTCAATGTATATATGGTGTATGTAAGTGGGTGAGTGTCACTCTCACTCGGGTTCAATGCAAGCAATAGGGAAACGGATGTGTGGTGGAATGGAGAATGAAATGTGTGTGTGTGAACAAAAATGCTCCTCAAGCGTAGAGAGACTTTTGTGTGTCGTGTTTTACTTGGAAATCGTATTCCAAGTTCGTTTCCTCGGGGAAGGAGGTGAATCGTGTTAAAGGTGATTTTGGTGAAAAGGGTAAAGTGTAAAAATTTTTTGTTGTTTGAAGTTTGGTTGTGATTGTGTTATGATGAAAATGAAAATGGAAAACAAGTGTTGGTTAATCCGAAGGATTCACTCCAATGGGAATGCCAAGTGAACTCGAAACCTTCTTCCAATAGAGCCTAGATGTTCAATTGATTCGTGGGAAACGAGGAACGAGATGAAAGTGAGGATCCAAGCATAACTCGTGACAAGTTACAGGATATCAAAAACTCACAATCCCATTCACACTTAACCCAATCAAACTGAATCATTGTACTCAAGAAAATGAATTAAAATGGCAACTAAAAACTTAACTACTCATATTTGAAGTAATGACAACAATGTAATAAGAAGACATTGTAAAGAAATGAAGATTTGAACTAAGTTGATGCAAGAAAACTTAACTACGAAGAGAGAAATGCAATACCCATTTTAAAACTAGAAAATGAAGAAAGCTTGAATAGCATTAATGGTGGAATCCAACATCCAGGACTAAACTTTAAATGAACTTGTAATGAATAGTATTAAAGACATTAAATGAAGCTTACCAGGTTCATATAAGAGATTACAAGACAATGTATGAAAGAAAATGCAAAAACATTAATTTCTCTCTCTAGCATTATTCATTTTCTACCTTGGACTCTCTCTCTATATTACAATATATATTGCCTCCCCCCTCTATCACTACAACAAAAATTATTTTTTGCGATAATTTTTTTTGTCGCTAAATTAAAAAAAATCGTTGCCAATTATTTTTTGCGACGTTTTTTTTTCGTCGCGTGTTCGTCGTAATAGTTTCGTCACAGAAACTATTTTGTGACTAAAATTTATTTTCATCGCAAAAAAAAAAAAATTGCGACAAAAAAAAATGTCGCAAAAAGTAAAAAAATCGTAGTTAAAATCTATTCCACCAACATATAAAAATTAAAAAAAAAATTTAATTACTTTTTCGCTGTGTAAAAAAATCATCGCAAATATATTTTTCATAAATAAAAATTTTTTTAAAAAATAATTTAATTAATTTTTCGCGACGTACAAAAATCTTCGCAAATAAATTTGAATAAAAAATTTCAAAAAATAATAATTAAATTAATTTTTCCCGACAAAAAAATCATTGCAAATATATTTTTCATAAATAAAAAATTAATTATTTTTTAGAGACGTAAAAAAATTGTCACAAATAATTTTTTAAATAAATAAAAAATAATTAATTAAATAGGACTGTGAATGGGTACACAGCTGCATTTGAGCTATGAAATAGAAGCCGCAAAAAAAAAATTTGATTTCATCCATATTGAGGTATAATCACACAAGTCAAATATTTAATAAGACTAAGAAAAAGAAAATTTTATTGATAAAAGAAACAATTACAAGAATCAAAGAACAAATTTGTTTAAAAGAAATACAAGAAATGACTTTAATCCTTCAAGATGATTAAAACTATTTTTAACTACTTTACTGCATCTTCTGATCTTCACATTCAGCTCCTGGAATCTGTCCAGCTACTGAGCATGCTGTTTAGTACCTTTGAACTAGACAAATTCTGGCAGACACTTGGTAGCCTTCAAAATGCACAGGCAACAAGCATCTCCAATGCACAACATCACCCTGGCATCATCCCAGCATCTATCCTCAAACCCTTCACAGTAGTGTAGCAGAAACACAGCAGATACAACCCCATTAAACTGCCTGCTCCATTCAATATACCTCCTGAACTGATTCTGCTAAAACATATCCAGCTATAAGCAGTACCCCACAGACAGAAACCAAAGGTCATTACAAAGGCAAGGTACCCTTAATCATAAACTCTCCTACATGATCAATAGGTGCATACATACAAATTGTTTGTGTTTTGCAAATAGCAGCTACAAGGAATAATAAAAAGCAAGCTGGTCTGTAAGCTGATTGAATTGCTAGGACTAATGTATTCAATAAGAATATTGACAGGCCCAATGTTAGGATACAGAACATGACAGTATAAATGCATGAATGAAAGGATTGGCTGGATTGGAAATACCTTTTGCATCAGTGCAACCACCAACTCAGGGCTCTCTGGTATTCCATGTTCTAGAAAGGCCTGAAGCATTGTGTATATAGTTAGTGGCTCTTTCTTTTATACCAAACACACGACAAACATGGCATAGGATTTAAAGGGAATGCACCAACCAATCCAACCACTCCCGATATATGGAGGACTATCCAAAATATATCTTAAATAGTTTATTGAAATATGTTCATAGAATGATTTCACATACATTCATCATGCACGAATTGTAAGTGTTGATCCAAAAAGCAAGCTTCTCTTGATCGTTAAGGCCCTGTAAGTCAACCAATGCAAGTTTCCCAAGTAGGAGTCTGAGAAAACAAGAGAAACACTATATTTAAGCCCAAGCAGATATGAGACATATGAATTCAAATTCTGAGCAAAGGCCCGTAATTTCCGATACCCCTGTGCACCAATTATCCTTTCTAGACAACACATATTAAGATACAAAAAAGACTGCTGTGATGTCCGAATTTTCAGAAGCAACTATACAAAATATAGGAAATTTTTAATGTTCAACAAACTTTTCATGCTCAGTTTCAAGAGAAAATTCTTGACCAGGTGAGCCATCAATAGTGTCTAGATCTGCAGGTTGGACACTATGCCATAACTGTGTCATAGTGGGTGTTTCCTTCCTAGCACGTGACATAACTTTATTTGGATAGTTAAACACATGAATTAAATTCCTAAAATTTCTGGGTAACACTGAACATGCACATAAACTGTATTTTATGTACTAAAAGCTGTAAATGAACATGCACGTCAAGGTCCAGCAACTGGCAGATGCTCTCTATGTCAATGCTCTTCTGCTTCTCCTCTAGAAAAGAAAAAACAAATAATAAAAGCTAGATAGTAGCACAAACAGGAATAAATTTGAAGTTTGCCAACATTAGCCATGAACAAACAAGAAATCCACAAACCTGTTAGACAATATCGAAAGGCATAGGAATAGAAATTCAGAAAATTTGATGGCTTCCTAACCTTTTGAGAGAAGGAAAAAAACAAGAGGGAAAAAAAAGGAAAGGGGGATAATCAGCATACCTATATGAATTACAGTATAGAACTAACAGAATTATACATCAAGTGGATGAAACAACCCAAAAACAATCTCTGAATCGATTCAGTAGCTGACTAATTTTATTAATGGATGGAAGATAATGCAGGTGCACTATGTGGTTCTTTATTTAAGTCACCCCTGCCTTCATTATATGTTTTTTTTTTAATTTCTACAAAAAATTAGCATCTTGATTTCTAGACATGCATCTAGAACACACGGCTGCTTATTCTAAGAAAAGAAACGGAAATCTTAAACCAATCAGTGCAAGGACTAATCGCTACTTTACCATGGTTCTTGGATGGAGAATTTGCATCAGCTCAATAAAGACTTCAGTAATACAGAGATCCTACATAAGCAGAAAGGGAATGGTTGAGTTATTATAAGCCTTATATAATGAAACCCCATAAAGTTTCCACAATAACTCCACAAACCATCATACCCTGCCACCAATTTCCTCTTGAAGCACTATTTATGTTGTTTCCATTCTGATCATCAACTCCACCATCTTTCGTGAACTGATCCAAGTAAGAAAACACTAAATAATCAGTGGTAGCGTTAAAAATTGGGGCAACTAGTTTATATATCTCCCAACATCATAATTGTCTCACATCTATAGGGATTCATGAAGGGATGGAACTACACTTACAATGTGCTGAGAAGTAGCGGTCTGGCTATTTGAAGAATAAACTTCTTGCCCTCCATAATAGATTGATGAGCTGAAATAGCATGGTTCTACAGTTTCATTTTGATATATGGAACTCTTGTCCTTGCAGGGTATGCATCCACTTTGAGTCATATAACTTGACAACATAGAAAAAAAAAAAACCCTATTTGGTCACATTATTTCCGGTCTCAAAATTTCACAGTGAACGATCTGAAAGTAGATTTGTTCAAGGAAAACAAACACCTTTTCAAATTTGAAGATGGTTAATGTTATAATGTCCATAAGGAAAGGTGATTCATAGGAAAATTCTGTGTCACTTTTGGTTTGAAGCACAAACCTGAAGTTCCATGTTTGGCATTGTCATATTGACCTCCCAAATCCTGCTTTTTCCATGACCCTGTGACTCCAGAGAGAGAGGAATCTCTTCCTAGCCCCTAAAATCAGAAAAAAAAAGGTTGAAATAAATTAAAACTTTGCACTATTAGGTTGGCAGTAAACATATAATATGTCACAAATGATTGCAAGAATGCATATAAAAGCAGTATTAACCGAAAAACCAAATATTTATCATTAAGAAACACCCCAAAAAAACTCAAGAAAAGACAGAAAAAAAAGGAAAATAGTAAAAGAATGATAGACAATTGGCCATTGTCAGAAAACTGTGAAAAAAAAAGCTAATTAAAAGTAGTAGGAAAAGAAAGTACCGTAGAGGATGAGCTAAAAAGGGACCCAAAGAGTCCAGTGGAGGTGGATGATGAAGGAGAATCCTTGGGGCCAAAGAGATCCAAAGTAAAGAACTGGTTCAGAAATTGGGAGAAAGAGGAGGAGGAAGAGGAAGCAGAGAACAAGGCTCAGCCATGGAAGAATCAGAAGCTAGTCAATGTCATGTAATATGATGCATTTGCTGGTTACATTGCAAAAAATATAGATGAGTTGGAGGAATTAGAAAGCAATTAAATTCGAGATCCATTTTTACTGCTAAAAACGTAGAAATGAGATCATATTTGGAACATAATGAAAATAGTTAGGGAAAAAGGAAATTAAGGAAAGAAATAGAAAATCAACAGCCAAACAGGAGACTTCCCTTTCATAAACTAAATGTTGATAGAATTAGGGAAAATCAATAGAATGACAACTTTCCATTTCACAAACTAAACTGACGATAATAAATGGCACCAATCAACAGATCCAACGATTCCAGATCCCAAAAACATGACTATTGAACCAAAAATATTACAACCCAAACCAGATCCAACGAGGAACCTTTAGTCGGTTCGCAGTTATCAACATAACCCAAACCAGGAACAATCAACAACAAACAACAACTTCATCGGTGGAGAGACCATACCTGCTTTGCGACGAAGCCTTCAGTCGGTGGAGCTTTGCGACAAAGTCTTCAGTTCAGTTGGTGGAGCCTTCTGTGCTGTGGATCTTCAGTGAGAGAGAGAGAGAGAGAGAGAGAGAGAGAGGGAGTGAGTGAGGAGGATCTTCGGTGAGACATCGATTCTTGCTTTAATGAACAAAACACCAAGCAAACGAAAATAAGAAAAAGGAGGGATTCACATTTTTGCCGACGTAAAAGAAAATGTCTCGAATTAAATTTTTTTTAATTTTTTTATTTCTTGATTACTTGGGGAAAAAAAAGGGAGCGACTCAATTTTTTGTCGACATAAAAAAAATGTCGCGAATTAAATTTTTATTTTATTTTTTTAATTCATGATTACTTGGGAAAAAAAAAAAAGGAGGGATTCACATTTTTTGCAACGTAAAAAACGTCGCGAAAAATACTGCAATAATATTCTATTTTCGTGCAAAAAACAATTAGAAGGAAATCTGCTTTTAGCGACATATTTAGAAAAACGTCGCAAAAAATGGCCAAAAATGAAATTTGCAAAAAAATAAAATTTGTGTTCTGTGACGAATTTATAAAAACGTCACGCAATGTAAAAATCTTCAATTAACGCGCCAAAAAAAATTGGGAGGGAATTACCTTTTACCGACGTTTTTAGAAAACATCGTCATTAATATTTTAAGTCTAATTTAAAATTAAAAAATTATATTCTATGACGAATATAAAAATGTTGTGAAATAATAATTTTATTTAATAAAAAATAAAATTTATGTTCTGCGACGAAGTTATAATAAAGACGTTGCGAAATGTTAAAATCTTCGATTGCCACACCAAAAAACATTAAGAGGGAATCATCTTTGCGCGATGTTTTAGAAAACGTCGTCATTAATATTTTAAGTTTAATTTAAAATTACAAAAATTACATTCTACGATGAGTATAAAAATATCACAAAATAATAATTTTATTTAATAAAAAATAAAATTTATCTTCTACGACAAATTTATAAAAACGTCACGAAATGTAAAAATCTTCAATTGCCGCACCAAAAAACATTGGGAGGAGGGAATTACCTTTTTACAACGTTTTTAGTTAATATTTTAAGTCTAATTTAAAATTACAAAATTACATTCTGCGATGAATATAAAAATGTCGCAAAATAATAATTTTATTTAATAAAAAATAAAATTTATCTTTTGCGACGACTTATAAAAAGGTCACAAAATGTAAAAATCTTCAATTCCCCCCATTTCTAATGTGCCAAAAACATTGGGAGGAAATCACTTTTACAAAACGTCACAAAAAAATTGCCAAAAAAGAAATTTGTGACAAAATTATGAAATCACCGCAGATAGTACACTAAATTAGTGGCCAAAAAAAATATCGCAAAAAATAATTTTTGTTGTAATGTACCATGGTGAATGAGCTTTCAAAAAAATGTTCATGGAGTGTCCCCTAGTTGTATAATGTGATTCCAATCAATAGGGGCTGCCAAGGACTAGGTTGGACAGGCTAGTGTAGGCATAGCCTGCACACCATCATCTTCTCTCTCTTCTCTCCTCATTAATGTCCCAAGTTCCAAAAGTCCAAGCATAAGTGTATGAGGGGATGTCTGTGTGTAGGGCATGTCAGGGACAAGTGGAAGAGTGCTTAGTGGGGCCCCTAAAGTTGCAGAGCTTGAGATGCAGATTCTGAACTATTTCAGCAAAACCTACTGGTAGGTCGATGGAAACGTACCGGTAGGTTTCAGTCCAGTAAACAAAACCGATTGGTAGGTTTGTGGTAGGTGCAGGTCCAATACCTAAAACCTACCGGTAAGGCCTACTAGTAGGTTTTCCCTTATTTTGCTGATTTTTTGGTTCCTTCACCTTTTGAGCTCTCATCAAACCTCAATCTCCACTCCATTCATATTGAACACCATGAAAGGGCATAACTATTATCATTTAACCCCTTTTATCTGCAAACATATCAAAACTCCATTAAAAAGGTCGAATTGTGTAATTCCACTTATTTTAACTACAAAAGTAAGCGTAAAGGGGGTGTAATTGTGTATAAAATATGCAATGTTTTATGCTAATCACACCCCTCAACTTGAGTTATGCTAGTCCCTAGCAAAATTTATTTTTAGACCAAAATATACAAGTATGAAATTGCAATAATCCATTTCCACAAGTCATCCATCAAACACTCAAAATACAATGATCATAATGCAATTGTCAAAATAAACTTGGACAAGATGGAACAAAAACTGTGGTATTTCATTAATGTCTTTCAAAAGTTGGGTACATGTAGTTTGCATTCATAAAGAGAAATCAAAACGACCTCTAATTCCTAAAGACTCTTCTATTAGGCCGATAACTCCACCTGAAGATGTACAACCCAAAACAACAAGACAAGACAAAAACTACAGTATCCTACTCCTCGTCTCTGTCTGAATCATCATCAACCTCATCATCACCAACGTCGAAATCACTCTCACCCTCCTCCTCCTCCTTAGTGTCCTTATCAGTACCCGCACCTCAACCAAAGTGGATGCTGAGGGGGCAAAGACAGAGGGTTTGACAATTAACGATGGTGGTCCACCTATAATGGGCTCTCCAAGGAATGTTTGACGAAAGAGTCGAGTCATTATGGTAGAGATCCCTGCACTTTCACCTCTAATGCATCGAGGTGCTGACATATTTAGCGCTTAGGTACAAAGGTTGATGGCATAAACACATAAGGCCTAGTAGATGGCCCAGCAGATGAAGATCCTGGGATAGCAGGCTCCGCAGATGGTGTAGATAAGGAAGGTACAGCGACCTCTAACTCTAGGCTCGAAACCCTAGCTCGTTCACCCCGCTCATCGTCGTTCTCTTCATGCTACTGGCCTTTCCAATAGCCCCAGTCTCAGGGGGAATGAGCTTTTCAAATGCATAGGGCTTTACCTTGAAATGCTTGCACATCCAAGTCACCAAATTCCTGAAAGGTAGATTGGCCTTAGGCTTTTGGGTCTCAGCAAAGTATTTCATTACCTTCCATACAAAAAGTGCAAAGTCTACCGCTCTTCTTGACAGTACTACATCCAAAAGGGATAGCTTTTTGATGCTATGCATCCTCTTAGTGCCCCTTAGAAGCAGATTGTAATGAAGAGGCTTGTTTAGAATCCCATAAGAATGTTTTAGTCCCTAACTTGGACCGTCCCCTTGAACTGACTTGAGTCCTCATACATCAATGGCATAAAATTAGGGATAGTCTTGACTTGAGTGATGTTATGCGGGTATACCGGGGTGGAGGATATGGTCTCTCGTAGTGTAGGAGGGTAGCAATAACAGTGGGGGTCACATCGAACGTCTTACACCTTACGTTCGTCCTCAAAATCTCAACCTCATCCACCTCCACCAACTTGAGTTTCTGGTAGAATTCCCCGCATAAAGATAAATTGAACCCATCCACGGGCTCAAACAAAAATGCCATCCCACGGGTAATAATGGTCCTCATGACCTCATTCCTCGGACCATGGGATATGTGATCGAGATACCTCTTGCAAGTGACATTCTTTTCTTGAATTAGTTGGTACATAGCCACATTCCTTGCTTTCTTCCTTTATTCAGTATAATCTCCACTTGAGCCCTCCCCACTCCTTTTGCGGGTGCTCGTGTCCTCGGGCCGTAGAGAGTCAGGCCCGGTTCATTTTGTTCAGGCCATGCACAACATTAGTGCCCTAAGAGTCAAGAGTGCAAAAAGAGACAACAAGAACCCCTCGATTGGGTCCATAACATCCCAGAGAATCAACATTTGGCAGGTCATTGGAAAGACCTTGGAGTTTTTGAAAAGGGTAGAGAAGATTAGGGCTTGTATAATTTTAGGACAATCTAGAGTTTCCAAAGAGGGATTCTTCAAATCATTAATAAAAATCACCAAATCAACAATCCTAGGGTTGGGATTGAGATATTAATGGAGTAAGATAATGATTTGGAAGCTTAGGAGGGTTTTGAGTGAGAGAGAAATGAGTTAGGGTCTGTGATTTAGGAGGACAATGAAGGGTTTCTTCGAAAAAATTCGATTAAAAAGCCCTAATTTTAGCATTATGGGTAAAACCTACCGGTAGTTCGATGGAAACCTACCGGTAGGTTTTTGACTTGCTCTGAAATGTGTACACCCAAGTGTAGGCGGTCAAGTAGTAGTAATAATCTCGTTAAATTCGGAGTCGAATCCAAGTAACTGGAAATTTTGAGAGTTTGGACTGGTGGGATTTCTTGAATAGAATAGAAGATTCTTTTCAAGAGTTTTCTAGAAAAAATATAAGATAAATTCAAATGTAAAATAGTCACCCTTTAGCTTGAGGATCAGAACATGTGGTTAATCATCCCGTTTATTATACTTGTGTTTATAACTCAATTAACTCCCATGTCAACAGCAAATTAATCGAAAGATAAAGGTGGACTGTGGAATTAAGCACATGATTCCAATGCCTTTCTAAAAGTGGACAAGAATTGCCTGTGCCGAGATTTAACCCATCTACAAACAAGCAAATGTTTCTACAAGGCATCCAACCATGACATTAATGTTCCATTCTTTAGATATAGCACGATAATAGTGAAGATTGAAATGTACCATGCAGATATCGCCTTGGTACTTGCCTTGAACCAATAGGTTTTTCCATGCAAAAGTAATCTTTGACATAGAAAGAACCCGTGATTATACAAAGTACCTTAGCTTTGCTAGATACATTCAGCCATTCAATGAACAAGTGAAATAGAAAGCATTAAAGCATAAATGGATTGCATGAATATAACTTCTGGATAATCAATACATGTTCATCACCTTTTACTAAAGAGTGAATGAGGAACTACTCACTCTTCATGGCTTGAGTAAAGCTAAAAAAGTAAGTGATACTCATCCCTCCAAGTAGAGAACTTACAAGGTAAAGTGCAATAAACGAAGAGCCGATCTTCACCAAAGAATATGTGAATCACGTTCCACCCTTTACGACTTTGGTAAAGCTCTAGAAAAGTGGAAGAGTTTTACTCCTCTAAGGAATAAGGAAGCTCAAGCAATGGAAGTGAAAGAAATAAAGAAAGTAGAAGAAAACTAGTTACTTTTGGAGGGTTTTCACCACAACCAAAAGATGAGCTATCTCTCTTGATACTTGTAAATAAAAGCAATTACAACTACAAGGGGAGTCTAAGCCTCCATCATGGTTGATACAATGCAAAATGAAAACATAAACAAGAAATGTATAAGAACTAGCTCTCTACTCTACTTTACAAGAGAAAAAATTCTCCCCCCTTGAAGCTCCCTTAATGGGAGTATTTATAGGCAAGGAAGGGGAGGGGGTGAAGGAATAGTGTTTGCCGCCCAAGTCCAAGTGAAAAGCCAACAACTCTGCAGCCAGTCAGTGTAACATTCGAACGTGATCTGTCGTTCGAATGTTGTGTCTGTTTTTGCTTTAAGGGCGTTCAAACGTGGTAAGTCATTCGAACGTTGTGTCTATCTTTGTTTTAAGGGCGTTCAAATGTCAGATGGGGTCTAAACCCCCCTTTCAAGTGGCCTGTGGTTTCTGTGATGGTTACTTCCATACGTCTTGAACAACTCTGGCACTGCACTCAGTAACTTGGTCCTCAGTAACTCATGACAACGTTCGAACGTTGTAATCAAGTACTTATGTGGTTCTGCTTTATTTGCTGCAACACTCCAACAAGTCTCAGTAATCTAGTCTTCTCAAGTTTCCAGAGCACGTTCGAATGTGAGTGGGCGTTCGAACGCGGTACTCAAGTACCTCAACATTTTACCTTCTTGACTACAACACATCATGCCTCAGTGACCTGATCCTCAATCACTTCAGGGGAACGTTCAAATGTTGATCCACGTTCGAACGTTCTTGCTTTGTGCCAAGTTATTCCAATTTTGCCCCTTTATCCACTAGTGTTACATCCAAGTGTGATATTTGTTGTCCTTGAGCTCTTGTTCACTTTAGGACCTGAAATGTCATTACTTAAACTCCATCAAAGCACAATTAGTCCCAAAAAAGGCATAGTAAAATGCTAACTTTAAGCACTAATCACACCACCCAA